TGTCCCTCAGTAATGGGGCAGGTTATCAGGAGACTTATGGGAGAGTTTCCAGTAGTTTCTGTGCCCTCAAGGTGAACAAGGGAATGTTAATGCTCACCTGAAGCTTATGTGAAGTAAGTCTCAGCCAAGCAGGGGCTAGGGTATTTAGCCACCAGTAGGAAAGAGTGAGTTAAAGTCTGATTTCCTAAGTGGGTGATCTTAGTCCAAGTCCATGGGTAGTACCAGATGTTACCTGTGGACCCTTGAATAGCTAGAGTATTCTTGGACATCTTCCCAAGAGGACACCGTAACACTGAGTAACTTGCTGCAGTACTGACCAGGAAATCTATTAACCAGGGATCAGGGGGAGTTGATGAACCCTGAAAGTGTCAATCTTTTTCCAATAGGACCAAAGGGGAGGTTTCCCCTTCTCCAGTTTGACCTTTAACTTTGGACAATTCTTTTTCCAATGTCCCAATTCTTTAAAAGATGCACATTGATTCTTGTCTAGCAAGTTTTTTTTGTGGTCTTTTCTCTTTCTGCTTTGAGTATGCCCCTCCACCAGTACAGCCAAGATCTTGGTAATTGCTTCTCTTGTAGATCTTCCTGTTGTCAGAAATCTTTTGGGCTATCTCTATTAACTCACCTATCATCATTCCTTCAAAACCCTCTAATTTTTGCAATTTTCTCTTAATATCAGGGGCTGACTGAGAGACAAAAGCTGTATTAATAGTCTGTTTTCTGGTGCCTCCAGATCTACAGGTATACATCTATACCTATATCTATACCTATATCTATATCTATATCCGTATCCGTATCCGTATCCGTATCCGTATCCGTATCCATATCCATATCCATATCTATATCTATATCTATATCTATATCTATATCTATATCTATATCTATATCTATATCTATATCACCTCTAGTAGATGCTAAGCAAAACCAATGGAAACACAGAAGCCATTTGTCTTACCTCAGTTATCTTTGATAGATTAGTCAGCTTCTAGGCAGCAGCTCAGAGTGCCATAAGAAGAGTCTGGAGATACCAATCGAGAGGCTTCTTACCTCCATCTTTTTTGGAGTCCTAGTTAGGTCGGGTCAAAGGAAAAACATCAAGCTTCATTAGATCCGAAGTGGGTTCCCAATTAGTGTCAAGGAAAGATTGACACACCATGATGTGGATTTGTTTGCATTCCTCAGGTGTGAAGAGAGTCTGGAAAAGCTGTTTGCAGTCATCCCAGGTTGGCTGATAGGTGAAACAAAAGGTCTCAAGGAGAGATATTAGAGCCTGAGAGTACTTAGAGAAAGGTGGATTCTGTAATTTACAGTTGTACAAATCCCTGGTAGAGAAAGGGACAGAGATGAAGAAATACCCTTGGAAGAAGTCTGATGGAGGGACTTCTCAAAAAAGCAGAATGGAGGGTAACTCATGGGAGTCAGGGCTGGGTGCAGAAGAGAGTGGTAGGGGACAACAGCTGCAAGTATGAGGTTGACTAGAAAGGGCAGGAGTCTGTGTAGAGGTTTCTGATGAGCTTGAGGAATCAGGGTGATAAGGAGGGGGTCCAGAAAGAGGAGGGGAATCATGAGGAAGGGGTAGGTCACATCTTAGTTTTAATCATTGCCATGAGAGAACATTGCATCTCCCATGGTCCTTCTTATAGGAGTTTTCTTATCCATGAGGGTGGATTCTGCATCAAGTAAATCCAAACTTTGATATAGATGACTTGGTCAGGTTGCATGGCCAGCTTATGAGGAATATGAAAATGACTTGATTGAACTATTCAGAGACTTGTAATTAAGTTCCCTGTGAAGGTCACCTGACAAAAAAGGAAGGCCATTCAAGTTCATAAAATGTTCTTAGCTTCTTAAGATAGACAAGATCTCTGTATCTGCAGCTCAATCCATAAACTCCTTAAAATGATTAAGAACGGGTTGCAGGGATGACAAAGAGGAGAAAACCATCTGACTCAGTGGTAGACATGCAAGACAAGGGTACAGTTAAAAGACAAAGGCAAGATGGTGGAATCCCACCACAAAGATAAAGAATCACCCAAAGAATCACCAAGAATGGCTACAGAGACTGGAGAAGGTCCTCGATTTTGCAAACAAGAGCTGGTTAAAATCACCAGGTGTCCATTTTCCTGTTTGTCTACTGCAGACTGTAAAACTTTTCAATTTAGTAATCCCAATAACCCCACAAAATTATTGAATTTAGTTAACTCGAGTTAGTCATGTATTAAAAAAACCCTAGAAAGTGGTTAAAATTTGCAAGAATTCTCTGTAATGGATGAATCAGGAATATAACAAGAAGACAACAGTGTATTAGATCTAAGTCAAGACTTTGGCAACATCTCACCCAAATGGGATCAAGGTTGAAAACTTGACTCCCCAAGTATATTCAATTCAATGGAAGTCAATTCCTCTCTCAAACAGCAGTAACTGGCCATAATTTTGGTGACATCTTGCCCAAATGGCAACGAGCCTGAAAACTTGACCCAGGTCATAGAAGAGGAAACAATCATGGAGAGAAAATGAAAATAATAAGTACCTCCTAATATAAGGAAGCCACATTCAAAAAGATCCTGATGTCCTCCAAAGTGTAGGAGTCCTGGGACGTTAGGAGCCACAAGGGGGGGTGGTAAATCCTGTGAAAGGTGTAGTCCAAAAGTAGCCCCCAAAATGTAATAATCAGAAAAATTACAGATTCCAAAAAAATTTTTTAAAAAGTGCTTTATTAGCTGAGCTCAGCAGGGACACAGTCCCACAAGAAGTCAGTGAAGTGCGCCCTGAGCCAGGGACTGCAGGGAGCTATAAAGCAATAAGCCACAAGGGGGGGGGTTTAAGAAGGGTTAGGGTCTTAGGATCAGTTTGACTCCATAAAAGGTAATTAGGTTTAGTTTTAGAGGAATCAAGAGGGTGGAACAAGCAGTAACAAGAAACAGGGATGTAGGCAGGGAGTTGCACAAGGATATGCCATAAAATGGTAATTTAACTGGCACTTAAACAAGGTTGCAAGAAGAGGTCATTGTTTCACAGGAATAGAATAAGTCATAAAGGCACATTGAGAATAAGTACAGCACATTGTGGGTTTTTAAGCTTACAACACTTGTCTTGCAGGGCCCTAGCCAAGTGAGCCAGTTTACATGTCCAGGAAGGCCCCTGAGAACAAGGGGGGCCTGAGACCCACAGCTTTGTGGGCACTGGGAGGCCTGGTGTGAACAGGGCTCACCTTGCTGGTGTGAACAGGGCTCACCTTGCTGGTGTGGCCTTACAGAAGACTTGCCCTTCTCCGGTATAGAACAGAACATGAGTGGCCCCAAGGACCTGGGTTCCCTGCTGTCTCTGCAGAGGAAGAACAAGATGGCCAGCTTCCAGGCCAAGCAGTCCCTGAGGTGAGGTTCCTGAACCTGATTGAATGCCACCCCATGGACATGAGTGACATCACTAAGCAGCTGGATGCTGTTAGGTCCTGAGATCCCTCTGGGCAGGGCACCCAGCTCCTGCAAATTTGGTGGTGGGGCTTCTCAGAGCTCTCCAAAAGCATCAGGTATGGAGGCCAGGGACATAAAGGGTGCAATGACCACCATGTTCCTGCTTGGGGGGCTCTGTACAATCTTGCACCCACATGGCAGCAGTATGCATGTGCACAGTGTGCTTGGCATCATGCCAGCCACTTCATTCCCTTCTTGTCATCCCTGCCCCTGTGTATTCATCTGGTGGGAGTTGGGCCAGGGAGTGCTTGGCCCTTGTTTTTGTTTTTTTTTTTTTTTTTTTTTTTTTGCAACGTGGGCAAGCACTCATCATTGTGCAACATGTCTGGCCCTTTTATTTTTATCTTGAGACAAGATTTTTCTAGGCTGCCCAGTCTGGATACCACATGGCACCCTTCTGCCTCAGCCTTGTGGGCTCCTGGTAGGACAGGTTTTGGCCAGTACCCATGAAGATCACTCTCTTTCTGATGGCCAGCATCCTGGCTTGTGGTGGGGCCACATTTTCTTGATCAATTCCTCAGCTGACAGGCACTTGAGGCATCTCTGCACTGGGCTGTGGTGAATGGTGCCCGGGGAGCAGGGAGAATTGCCAGCAGTGAGATCACTGTGGCATGGTTGGAGTGGAGGTTGATTTTCCCAGGCAGCAGTGCAGCATTTCTGTGAGATGGGGCCTTGTATTCCTGTGTCCCAATTCCCATACTCCTTCTGTCCTCTCTGAGTGGACATTCCAGATTGCCACGACGCCATCCCATTATGGTTGAGATTTTCCCTCCCCAGGTGTGACTTGTGTCATCAGCCTTTCATCTTTCTGTTGCCTCTCTGTGTGTCTCTGGGAATGTGTCTCTCCCATCCACTGCTCCTCACAGAGCCAGTGGTCGATCTCTGGCAGGCTCCCTGGGCTCTCAGGTGAGGTTGTCTGGAGGTGGCCCATGGAGCAGCACCACAGCTGCTGTCATGCTGGGTGGCCCTGGGAAGATTCCTGACCACTCTGTGCATTGGCCTTGCTATCCAGGCAGTGGCCAATGAAAGTGCCCCACCCAGACCCCATGTGCACCTGGGCCTCTCTGTGAGCCCCAGCAGCACTGTCTGAGAGCCTGCTTGCCACAGCCCATCCCCCTAGACACCACCACCCTCTGTGTCACTACTTTTCAGCCATGAGAGCTGGTGCTAGGAGGCCTGGAAGCCTGGGGTAAGAACCATGCAATCCAAGCCCACAGGTGTAGAGCCACCTGGATGGGTGTGCCTGTGGCCCTGGTGGCCCATTCACAGGCATGTGGCCACCAGCCCAGCCAGCACAGATGGCAGCTCAGTGTTGTGGATTATGTAGGTGGCCCCCAGGCCTCATGCATTTACATTATGCATCTGTGTTTGGTTCATTGTGTAGTCCTTGGATTGATGGTGTCAGTGCTACACCCACATAGGGGTGGAGTCAGTATATAATGTAATGCCAGAAAGAAGGTGTATCTCGCTCTGTTGTTGTGATAGCTCGGACCCCAGTACAAAATCCAAGGAAGCAAGAGACTGAAATTTGGGGAGCAAAGGCTTTATTTAGGCCAGGCCTGGCGACAAGTCTCCAGGAGCCAATTTGGAGACTGCACGCCAGAGATTGGAGAAGGGGATTTAAAAAGCAGGAGGTGGGGGGACAAAAGAAATCCGCAGAGCCATTAAACTGTTGACCCAAATCTGGAAACTGTAAAGCTGTCCACTTAGTTCTGACAACCTTGGGAGCCTTTGGTGCCTTTCAAGTTACTCCCGTCCTGCAGATAAGCATTATCTTGGAATTGCACATCTGCAATAACATTTGGAAAAGAAAGTAGAAAGTTAATTATCTTAGGAAAGCTCATCACTAACAGGTGCGAAGGGCTTGAAAGTTACAAGAAGCTGAAACCTAAGTTTTTACAAGGATTTGAAACTTAGAAATTTTGATGCATACAGAACAAAATGAGAGCATGGTTGGGGTTTGATCCGGCCTGCAGATCAATCCATGGAGAACTCCTGAAGGGGGATCGGGGATTAAATAAAAGACATGGGGGGAGACAAAGAGAGATGAAAGCAAGTTGAAATAATCCAATCAAGCTTCCATTTATTCAGGAAATGGTCACACCTTTTATAGGCCAAGGGCGGGAGGTGGGACAGGAAGAGGTTAAGGGGTGAATACAACAGGGGCACTGTCACATCCGGATACGTGACATAAGCAGGAGAGGATTATGGTTAATGTAGGCAGACGCAGTGCCCATAGGAGAGAGAGGCAGGGAGGCAGCAATGGGCTGTCACTCAGCTCCCTACATCTCCTCCCTTTTTATATTATTTAATCAAGAGTATGGCAGGCCCTGTCAGACAGCGTCTGTCTTAGGTCAAGGACCTCATTGCATGGACCCAACCAGGCCTTACCTGTCATGGGCTTGCAGAACAACAGTTGGTCCTGTGCCTGTCTTAGGTGGCCATTGGAATTAACATGCATGTCCTAGTTGCCCATCTCTGACTGCCTGTCCATTGCCCCAGGGCAGTTAGGCCACATTGTCATATGGGCCACTCGTGGGAAATCCTTCCTGGTAAGTTTGTTGATCTGCCATCTCCAGCTGACGATAGTGTACCTGAATGGGCTTTGCCATAAATGCATCTATCCAGTTATTAATGAGCATCATAAAATACAAGGACTCTGAAAAATACAAGGACTCACAGAAAGGAGAAGCAATAGGGCAGCTAGGGGACCCAAAAGTGGCACTAGGTAAGGGAAAAACTCCCCCCCCACACTCATATCGAGGAGAAGGGGTTGACAGCCATTTGTCAGTGTCTCTGTTGAAGTCATTCTCCTATGTCTTGGAGCATGCCTTGCATAACATTGGACACAGGCTATTTGGCTGGTGTATGTTCCTCCAGACCAAGAAGAGCCTCTTCCACAGTCACGGGGTTCTATGCATGGCTGTCAGCAGTTGTAGTCTGTTTGGCAGGGGTCGAAATCCACCATGGGTGTGGTATGGCTCAAGAAGAAGGCTGACTAGGCAGCATAAGACTCCAGGGAGTTGTGTCACCTGTAAGAGAACACAGGGGATTGTGCCTCAGGAAATGACATTATTCCTAGGCATTGCATGGGGTCTTTGAAGAACTGTCTACTTGTTTTATGAGGCATTCAGGTAGCCATCTAGCTTCTCTATCTTGTTGAGAGTAAACACATACTAAACCGTGTCCCCAGATAAGGACTGGGTCAGGGCCATTCCACATATTGGTTAGTGGGTCTCTCCATAAAACAGATGCAAACCATGTTTGAGTTTGAGTATGCCAAAATCAAGATGCTGCAGAGCAGCCTGAAGCATCCAGGGTCAGAAAATTTAAAATAAAAAGAGCATGTGAAAGGACATTTCTAGGGGACCCCCGGGTGGGGTACCATGTCTCCCTTTTTATTTTATCTATGGTGAATTTAATGGAATGGTGTGCACATTCAACAATGCCTTGTCCCTGAGGATTATAAGGTATACCTGTGGTATGGAGGATATTAAGACTCTTGCAAAATAGAGCGAAGGAGGTGCTGGTATAGCCAGGGCCATTATCAGTCTTTAGCTGTTGAGGACATCTCAGAACTGAGAAGGCTGACAGCATATGGGCTATAATGTGTCTACCAGCTTCTCCAGTCTGGAGAGTGGCAAAAATGAAGCCACTATATGTGTCAATAATGACATGTACATATTTTAGATTGCCGAACTCATTGAAATGAGTAATGTCCATTTGCCATAAGGCGTTAGGGATTAAACCTCTTGGGTTGACTCCTAGGTGTTGGACAGGTAAGTGGATAGCGCAAGAGGGGCAATTTTTTACAATTTGTCTGGCTTGCTCACGGGTAATTTTGTAGAGGAGGAGGAGGGTGTGAGCATTGAGGTGGTGTAGCTGATGGGCCTGTTGGGCCTCAGACACCTTGGAATCATGAGTCATAAAAATCTGTGCTCGTACAGCAACATCAGCCAAATGATTTCCTCGGGGAAGAGGTCCAGGGAGGTTGGAATGGGCCCACAGATGACCAATAAAGAACTTATGATGGCAAAGCTGTATGAAGCATTGTAATCATTTGAACAGATTTGAAGCCAGGGAAGCATGACAGATGGTATCAACAGTCTCCAATAATGGAACAGACTGAGCAAGGTAAGCACTGTCAGTATACAAATTAAAGAGTCGGTTGAAGTAAGCAGCAAAGGCTGCAAGAATAGCTTGTAACTCTGCTAATTGGGCAGAGGAAGTGTCTGCCTGGAGGGTAGAAACATTGTCTTGGGATACATAAGCGGCCCTTCCAGAGGATGAGCCATCAGTGAATAACACCAGGGCGCCTGGAAGGGGTTATGAAGCTGTGACCTTAGGGAATATAAATGGGTGGCAATTAGCAAAGCTTATTTGGAGGGTTGTGATTGTCAATAGTCCCTGAAAAGGAAGCTAAGGCAATAGGCCACACTTCTGTAGTCTGAAATAGCCAATCTATTTGGTCTTTTGTAAAAGGTTGAATGATAATATCTGGTTCTTGGCCAAAGTAACATTTTCCTTGCTTTCTACCCTGAATTGTTAGGTCTGAAACAGCCTGGAAATAAGGCAGGAGTGTTCTTTTTGGGAGACTGATAAATGGACCCATATGAGGGGAGCTTGTTGCCGGAACACTGCTGTGGGACAAAGCTTTGTATTAAAAATGAGAAACTGTAAAGGCTCATTGTAGCCCATAAAGGAAACAGTTTGTTGAGCAATAGCCTCTTCTACTTTACTGAGCGCTCTCCTGGCATCAGGTATAAGCTCTCGGGGGGAGATTGGATCTATGTCTCCCTGAAGCAGTGCATAAAGGGGCTGTAAATCATGTTTAGTTAGTTTTAAAAATGGTATGAGCCAATTAATGTCTCCCAATAGTTTTTGGAAGTCATGAAGTGTTTTGAGCCCATCAAGCCTCAGCTGGGGCCTTGGAGAGAGTATTTGAGTGCCACGTAATTGAAAACCCAAGTATGTATATGGATCAGTAAGCTATACTTTATCAGGGGCTATTTGAAGTCCAGCCTCTTGTAAGGCAACCTGTAAGTCCTGGTAGCACTTTAGGGTGTGGTTTTGATCATCTCCTGCCAAGAGAATATCGTCCATATAATGAATAATATAGATATGTGGCCAATGATCTCTGACTGGCTGTATTGCAGTGGCTACAAAAGACTGGCATAGCATGGGGGAGTTAGCCATACCTTGTGGCAAAATGCACCATTGAAATCTCTGCATAGGGGCTTTAAAATTAATTGACGGGAGACTGAAGGCAAAACGCTTTTGGTCATTTGGATGTAAAGGAATAGAGAAAAAGCAATCTTTAAGATCTATGGCAATTTAAAAAAATCCCAGGGGAATGGCACTGGGTGAGGGGAGGCCTGGCTGTAGGGGCCCCATTAAGACAATTGTCTTATTTGTTAGACATTTGAGACAAAGGCAATAGCAGCAATTGAGCAAGGCGTTCCCCTGTCCTAACTGGTATGATCCCGACAAGGGGAGAAACCATGACTTTTATTTCTCCTGTGTAATCACTATCTACTATCCCAGGCAGAACTTGTAATCCTTTAAGTGCAGTGCTACTAGGTCCAATAATAAGTGCAAAAGTCCCGGGGGGAGGGGGCCCATAGATTCCCGAGGGCATGATCTGGACACCCATGTCAGGGGTTAATACTGTGTTGGAGGTGGAACAGAAGTCCAACCCTGCACTCCCTGGGGTTGCCCTGAAGAGGTCTGAAATGGATTGTTTTGTGCTGGGACAAACCTTGGACCCCAAGGGTTTGTCCGAAATTGGGGGCCTGGGGCTGGCCCTGTAACCCATTTCCCTGTGGAGGAAGAGGGTTACCATGAACATCTCTTTTGGATCTGCACTCATTAGCCCAGTGGTCTCCTTGCTTACATCTAGGACATAGCCCTGATTTTTTTGTAGAGGACTGATTTTGATTTTTTCTTTTGCAATCACGAGCCGTGTGGCCACTTTGGCCACGTTTGAAACAAGTGGCATCTTTTTTAGAATGAGAGAGGGGTTGTGTAACCATGCAACCTTATTGTGTTGTAGCCATGGCTAGGCCTTGATAAACCGGCCCAATATCTGTACATAAGCAGATATAACCTGATAGGTTCTCTTTTTTGCGATGTGGTCAAATTGCAGCCTGACAATCTGAGGTTGCATTTTCATAAGCCAATTGTTTAACCAGGGAAAAGTTTGTTTCTGTGGAGCAGAAAAGATGCTCTGCCACCTGTAACAGGTGATCAACAAAGTCCGAAAAGGGCTCCTCAGGCTTTTGTTTTATTTGGGTGAGAGATAAGGTAGGCTCGCCTCCTGAGGGGAGCCGTTTCCATGCTCTAATGGCTGCCATATTAACCTGTGCAAAGAGGCCCAAATCAAACCGCATTTGGGTCTCTTTTGTGGCAAAATCTCCTGTTCCTGTAAGCATAGCGAGGATCCAGGGGTTTGTCTGTGCGGCGTTATCTCTGGCTATGCCCTTGCATTGATCAAAAAATTCAGATCTCCATAATAGATAATTGCCTCTGGAGAGGGTGGCTTTTGCTAAGTCTTTCCACTCATTAGGAATAATCCAACCCTGAGTCAAAGAATCTAGAACCGCAATGGTGTAGGTGGCAGTCGGGCCATATTGAGAGACTGCGGCCTTTAACTCTTTTAAGGCTGCCACGGTGAGAGGTGTGTGTATCCTAAAAGCTTGTGGTTCAGTGCCCTCTTCAACATCCCGTGGGGGAGTAAGGGCCTCTGTGACTGGGAAAGCCATTTTAGGCTGGCTTCCAGAGGCAGGCACCATTTTAAGCACGCCACAAGGCATGCCAGAGGCAGGCGCCATCTCAAGGACACTATAAAACTGTGTAGCTAGGAGGGCCTGCAATTGAATTGAAAGATTTTGGCATTCTTTTTCTAGCTGTATCTGTTTTAAAAGATCCATTTTTCTTTGCTCTAATTCTGCTAATGTGCTAGAAGGTTGAGAGCAGATGCTGAGTGCATCATCATAGTCAGGCCTAATAGTGGCTGGTGCTGCAACAGGGTCAGGGCGATATGTAGAGGCTTGTTGTGTTCGTTGTTCCCAGTTGACCTCCTGAGAATCAGAAAGGCCGGGATATAAAGGCTTATATGAATCCCCAATTGGCCATGGAGGCACGGAGAGTGGGACCTGTTGATCATGTCAACAGGAGGAAGTAGTGGCAGATCACAATGTAGGAGGACCTCTAACAGGCCGTCGTCCTCTGCATCTGAGAAATCAGAGGCTTCAGATTTTTCTGAGGATGGTTTTGAGGTGGAATTAACAGAGTCTCACAGGGCAGCCTCACCTAGTGCAACCATCTCCTCAACCTGAGGATCTGCAGGCCACTGAGCAAGCAGCTGAGAGATTAAATTCCAATATATAAAGGTGGTCACAGGAACCTTTTCTGGACAGAAAACTCTATAATAATCTTTTAAAGCATCTCTTCCTCTATTCCACCTCTTGTTATCTATAGAACCCTCTAGGGGGAACCAAGGGCAAACCTTATGAATAAATTGAAAATACTGCAATAATTCTTTTTTTAACTCTTACCCCTCTTGTCTTTAATGCCTTTTTAAGGCCTCCCATGAACAATTCGTGTTCGCTCAATACTTGACCCATGTCCAGGAAAGGAAATGGGGTTGCTGTTCACTCACCGTGACTCAGGCAGGATGTTGGGTAGTCGTCTGCACAGGCCTCAGTACATAATTTAATGTCCTGTTGCTTTAAGGTTTAATCCTTGATTCAGTTTGCTCACTCCTTGCCGCGGTCTTTGGTTCAATTTGCTTTCACTTTCAGTTTAAGCTGTCTGTCTCTCAAACAGCTCCCTCATTAACTCCTCCGTGCCAGGAGCCCCCACACTGAGCGCCACTTGATCCGGCCTGCAGATCAATCCATGGAGAACTCCTGAAGGGGGAACAGGGATTAAATAAAAGACATGAGGGGAGACAAAGAGAGATGAAAGCAAGTCGAAATAATCCAATCAAGCTGCTGTTTATTCAGGCAATGATCATACCTTTTATAGGCCAAGGGTGGGAGGTGGGACAGGAAGAGTTTAAGGGGTGAATACAACAGGGTCACCATCACATCCAGATATGTGACGTAAGCAGGAGAGGATTATGGTTAATGTAGGCAGATGCAGTGCCCATAGGAGTGAGAGGTAGGGAGGCAGCAATGGGCTGTCACTCGGCTCCCTACAGGGTTTAAGCCATAACATTTTCCTGTAATTTCTTTGAAGCTAAGAATTTCTTAAGAAGAGCACAATTAGCACATTTTGTGACAGACTACTACTGGGTAGGGAAAGGGGGGAAGGCAGTGCCGTGCATTACAGAATAGAAAATATGGCAAGATTACATTCCTTGGGGAGAGCGAGGTCAGGTAAGGGTTGTGCTAACAAGCAAGTCTCTCTGCATACAAGCAAGTTACTTTAAACAAGTTTAAATCAGCGAAACATCCTGGTTTTCCTCAGCAGAGAATAGGGAAGCCTAGGAGTAACTAACAACTCCTGTTAGCTTATCTTAGCACCGCATCTGTTATTTGTAGAGGGAAACAATGGTTAATATATCAATTAGGCTAGGATTTTAGGGATTTACAACTCTTTACAGAGGGGAGCATTGATTAACATATCAATTAGGTCACCCAGAAGAAAAGCAAAACCATATATAGAACAGTAGGCCACATTACAGGTATTTTGCTTTTGATACAAATATAATGAAGCTATTTTTCTTAGACTACAACAGTTGTCAGTTTCACTTGCTGTTTGCAGCCACCGTGAACTGACATCCTGCCCTGCCACCCTGTCATGGAGCCAATTTAGTATAGACTAAAACCTCTCAAAACTGTAAGAAATAAACCTTGTAAGTGTCTGTGGTGTGGGCCAGGAGGAGGACCAGAACTCCCCAGATCCAGCCATGGTGGGACTCAGGCAGCTTATTCTTCCACCCTCTTGAAAAGTACCCATGGTGTGGGCCAGGAAGAGAACCATTACCTGTGAGCCTACTGCCTTGTGGGCTGAAAAATCAAGCACTCTTCCCACTTCCCTCCTGCCCATAGCTACTGGGGATAGATGTCTTGGCATCACTTGGTAGGAGGACCATAATACAGTATAGCAAGTATGGTGGATTTCCTTCTATCTTCTGTTTAAAAGTAAAGGTTTTTTTCATTGTTTTGTTTTGCTATGTTTCTTTTCCTCTATTCAGTACTCTCAATTGGTCTTACAATGTTCTATTTTTGGTTTGCTTTTACTATACTTAATTGACTAGACACCGTACAGAGCTATTACTACTATCCCAGTATCCTACTGTGAAATCCTTTAACAATTTCACTGCATTGTCTTGATTGGCTTTGTTCTGTCTTGTGCTGTTGCATTTTTACTACTTTCAAAAAAAAAAAAAGAAATAAACCTTTCCATTCCCAACTTTGGTCCTCTGGTATTTTGTCTCAGCAAAGAGTAAAAGTAACTAAAAGAGAATTTGGTACTGAGGAATGGGGTTATTAGCTGTGACTGTACCTGGCCATGTTTTTCAAGAGACTTCGGAAATGGGTTGTGGGAAGAGTTTGGAAACGTTTGGACATGTCAACTGGATGCCTTGAGCTGGAGAATTTTAGGCTCTTCTGTAGAGGTGATTCTGTTCAAAGCTGAGGAGGCCAGAAGGCTGATAGAAAGGCTGATTGTAGAAACCAATATTCAGAGGTTTCTGCTGGGAAGAAGCACTGCATTGGTTGTTGGACTCCCCATGATGATGCATGTTATGGCTTAGCAGAAAATTTGTCTTCATTTTTCTCATTCCCAGAGACTTTTCCTGAGACTAAAAAAAGGGCAATGGACTGATTAATCTGAAAAGGAAATTTCAAGGCAGTCTAATGTTGAGGCTGTGGCATGGCTATTGTTGGGTGCTTTTAGGCAGATTTGTGTTGCAAATAAAGAGCAAAGGCCCAGCAGGGTAATTCACAATACTGTGAGTTTGGCCAGTAGGAAAACTCCAGTAAATCTGTGGATTGTAAAGTTAAAGTAGACTTTGAGTGCTGAGAAGAAACAGAGAGATAAGAAAGATAGCCCCGGGACATCACAGGAACCAGAGGGTCCCAACCCACTGCAGCCTCAAAACTGCAAAAGTGAAAGAATTTGTTCAAAGGAGAAAGCTGCAGAGCACCATGCTCCAGAATGGTGATGGAGGCCATGTGAGGTTCCAAAATGGTGGCAACAGAGAAGTTTTCTTCACAGTCAGGTTCACAGAGCCCAACAATATAGGCAATTGACCCCCACAGCCAAGAGAGAGAAAAGCCTGGCTACTGCTCCAGCTGGTAGCAAACCTTGGTGACATCCATATGGTGGTGATTTTAGGTGAAAGGAAAGGCACAATTTCTGAGGGTAAGACAGCTTCCACCTCAATTGTAAAGGGCTTGGGCTGCCAATCAGTGTGCCCCTGAGAGGACAATTTGTAAATATGTAAAGGTGAAGCAAAAGATGCAGTGGAGATTCCAGAAGTTTGAAAAAGCCTGGAACGTGGATCATCCAAGCAAAGTTGCAGAAAGCGAGCAGAGAGGATTTAAGGGACACACAGGAGTTGAAATCCTTGAAAGTGCCATGGGGGTGGAATCATACAAGCCTTTTGGAGCTTGCAACCAGATTTCTTCAAATGCTGAACATGAAATTCTAGGACTTAATGTTTGTCCTGCTGGATATTGTATTTGCTTTGTTTCAAATGTTTTATATTCTCCTGTTTGTAACTTTTGAAATGGTAATGTTTATCTTGTGCCTTTGCATTTCAGAAATGTTTAAACTTGTTTCATTTGTACAGGGTGTTACAGTTAAGAGTTTGCCACAGATCTTGAAGGATACTTGGGACTTGGTCTTCTCAGAAATGCTGAAACTGTCAGGACTTTGGCAACTCTTGGAGATGGACTAACTTTCTTTTGTATAAAGGATGTACATGAGTCTTGGGGTCCAGGGATGGAATGTCATGGTTTATTTTGGTGGCCCATAGGCCTCATGTGTTTACATTATGTATTTGTGATTTCTTCATTGTACAGTGTTTTACTTGATGGTGTCAGTGCTACAACCACATAGGGATGGAGCCAGGATGCAGTGTAGTGGCAGGAAGAAGGTGTCTCTCACTCTCTTGATGTTTTTCGCTTGCTGTTTACAGATGCCATGAACTGTGGCTGTGCCATGCCACTCTGCCTTGGACCCAACAGAGTATGGACTGATATCTTCTAAAATTGTAAGAAATAAACCTTTTCTTTCCCATCTTTGGTCATCAGGTATTTTGTCTCAGTGATGGGTAAAAAGTAACTTAAATACTCAGAGTGACAGCTGAAGGTGATGCCTGTACCTGGTGGTAGAGCCTTGATCCACAGACATAGTTTAAAAGGCCTCATTAGTCAGGGGGAAGGATGGCATGCCATCCCATGGGCATTAGGGATCTGCTCACATTTCCAGCAAGCAACCTCTTCACCTTGTAATGATTAATTAAAAATCCCTTTACGGGGCTGGGGATTTAGCTCAACGGCATAAGCACCTGCCTTGTAAGCAGGCAGTTGTGAGTTCGATCCCTGGTACCGATAAAAACAAACAAAAAAAAAAAAAAAAAAAAAAACCAAAAGATCCTTTTACTTGGGTGCATGTGTCCTTCCTAATGGGCCTGTGTGAGAAGCGTACTTATATCCTACCTGCCCAGCATGCTTGCCCAAGGTGGGAGCCCCTCTCCAGGCCCCAGGGACGATGATCTGGTGTGTCCTGACATCCTTGATGTGCTCTGGGAAATCAGAAGTCCTGAATGAGGCTGAGAGCCAAGGTGGAGACTTCTGAAGCTACTCTGCATGGCTTTGGGAGAGCACAGGGCAGATGTCCACCTCCCAGGGACTCCCCCAGGCCATAAGGGCTCATGGTAAGCCAGGCATTGTGGCCTTTGGGGGGTAGTGCATGTGTTCCCAGTGTGCAGCAGGGACCAGGCCTCGAGGCAGATACTTCCAGGCTTCTTGCTGGACCTCAGCACCACCCTATACCATGGCCCGATTATTCGTGGTCTTATAATGAGATCTCATTTCTATCAATCCTGAGAGCCTCATACCACGGCTGCAGCTGGGATTCTGTGGTCTTTGTACATGGTTTGCAGAATGATAGGGCTGCTTATTAAATGCTCGGGGTGACAGCAGACATGGCCTGTTTGTGGCAGCTACCTCAGCTGTGGCTCCAGTGCTCCATGGCCCCCTTTGTCCCATGAGGTGACACCTCTTCCTCTCACATCCTGGCACACCCAAGTCCACTCCTGTATCTAGCATCACCTCTCCTGGTCATTTCCTGTATAGGGAGCCCACACTATATGACCTCTGTATCCGGCATCTCTCACCATGCACAGCATCCTTGAGGTTCCTCCATGCTGTGACGAGTGTCCTGCCAAGAGCCACCTGGCATGGTGGACTTGCCATGCCCAGTAGACCACAGCAGGCACTGAGACATGTCCACCCCCTGACTCTGAGCTTCCCAATGTGTCCATCTGCTTCATGCTGGGTGCTGCCTGGGTCCTCTTTCCTGGCCTGCTCTTAGGCCGGGTAGACAGTGGGATAGTGTTGGGGCTGGTCGTGGATACAGAGCTGTGGTCTGGGGTCAGGAGGGCCCTGTGCCACATGGAAGGCTACACTTTCCACATGACCTGCATGCATGCCACTGGGGTGCTGCTGCTGGAACCTGAAAACTGGCCTTATGACATGGCCATCACCTGCCTCAAGTACCAGGCTGGTGGCCACACCATGAGTTCCCCAGGCTCCCTCACCCCACCCAGCCCTCCAACCACCATACTCCCAGCCCCGATGATGCCTTGCCTGACCCCCACCTACTGCAGTTACAGGTCCTCTGGCTGTGTCCTTGGTCAAGTGGTCATCACCAAGAACTGTAATGGCCTCTATTACCACTGCCATGTCATCAGCACCACCATGGAGTTCTTCT